TAAATCTGATATATAAAGTGAAGTCTAATACCACAGTGTGGTTGGCAAATCCAACGATGAGTGAAAGGATGACAATACAAACCCACATGCATTGAATCACTTAAATGTAGCCAGGGAGAAGTGTTCCATCCACATTGATGCTCAATATAAAAACTAAATTTAGAGTGCTCATTGATTTTTATATACACCACATCTTTACCATTATTAAACATGTTAAATCTCCCATATCAAAATATCAAAATGTCAAACGCGTAGAAAATATGTGAAAAAAAATGTACGTGTATTCTGAATCATCTTCAAGCTTCATGTTCATTCATCAAGGTCAGATTCACGTCTCACTGTTCACCACGTGGAAGCTGTCGGTAGGGGGCGTGGTTCACCAAGCTGTGCGGGCCTGGAGAACGTCTCTACGTCGTTTCCATGTGTTTTACGTTTCTATGTCATTGTTCTGCAAAAACTGCGTAACGATCAGCCGGAGTGCGGCTTTTAGAAAACACGTTAAAGTTGACGCATCAAATGGTGTGTGCGTTATTTCTGAATTCTTACCACGATATAACAACAACAACAAGATGTACTGAACAATCAAATAAAGAAAACAAAAAGCCCATTCACGTGTGACCACTTTATTGGTGATTAGCACTGTTGGTGTAGATGTATCGATATAAACTGTGGCTCACCTTGATTACGCTGTTAACGTACAGCGACGGTGCTGCGCGACGTGTCAGCCCACCAATCAGCGGCGGAGGAGCTGATTGACTTCCCTACCGAGAGGAGCAGGGAGCTGAGGGGGAGCAGCCGGACACGGACCACTCTCACACGGATATCTCCAGTCGGATCGCCGCAGGAAGACACCTCCGAGGCACCGCGGGGCCCTCCGTTTCTGCTTCGACCAGCTCCCACAGTCTGCCGCGGGGAGATGGCCGGTATCCTGGCGTGGTTCTGGAACGAGCGCTTCTGGCTCCCGCACAACGTAACATGGGCTGACTTAAAGAACACGGACGAGGCGACGTTCCCGCAAGCCGAGGATCTGTATCTGGCGTGTCCTGTAGCCTTCTGCATCTTCATGATCCGGCTGGTGTTTGAAAGGTGGGTGCCACAGCAAACACCAACCACCTCCACCACCATCTTCATCCAGGTGGCCGTGCTGGGGTTCTTGTTTGTGTGGATGAAAAGGTTGCACGCTCCTGTGTTATTAGTCAGACTGTTGTTACCCAAACAATGGCATCTTCTCCGGTTAGCCTGCAAATCACCGGGGCTGATCATCCGTCTCTGTGCAGGCCTGCAGCAGAGTCTGATGCATGTCAGTGCAGCCACATCATCACAGTATACCTGCACACAATCCAGCTGTGCTCTCCTCTCACCCCACAACCCTCCTCCATTAAATATATCGTCTGTTTATTCACTCCACTGACCCAGTTGTTGCAATCATCGATACACAGAAAGACCTAGAGTCATGATGCTCGTCCTGCAATATGTGGGTCAGGAGGCTCTTTGGGGAGAAGTGACTGAGGCCTTAAACTTCCACACTAAAACCTTCACTCGTGTTTACAATGTTGTCCTTGAAAATGTTAATTAGAAATCATCCATTGAATCCGTGCAATGCTGTATATACAGCTTATTTACATATCTAGTAATTTACTGTCTCATGTAACTTACTGATATAAATTCTATATTACATACTCCCATTATCAATACTTACTATCATCATTACTACTTGTTGCCACTTTTGTATTTGTTTACTGTCTCATGTAACTTACTGATATAAATTCTATATTACATACTCCCATTATCAATACTTACTATCATCATTACTACTTGTTGCCACTTTTGTATTTGTTTACTGTCTCATGTAACTTTCTTTCTTTTTTATTCTCACTTCTATTTGGCACTGGTTCTGGATTACTTTTTATTTAACATATAATACACTCTAGACTTTTATTTTCACTTTTATAGATTTAATACTCTATGGTTCTATTCACTGTATTCTATTATATAGTGTGATACTGTAATCTTGAAGAAGACGGCACAAGAACATCCTAGATTAATAAAGTCTTATCTTACTTGATCAATTAAGTAGAAAGTTAAGCCTTACCCCGCGTTATTGCTCACAGACAACGTATAATTTACCATTTACCAGACTGCACATAATCTGTAAAAAAGTTTGTATGGCAAAAATGCAGAAAATATTCTCAGGCTGTGATTTTGTTTTCCAGCTGAAATGTCAGCTTCCACATAATGAATACAATTTGTAAGTGGTCTGTATTTATATAGTGTTTTGCCATCCACCTATTCTTACACACAGTCATACAGTGCGTCTATGTGCAGCACTTTATCACACATCGCTCATACACAGGCATCAGGGGAAATTTTGGGGTTCGGTATCTTGCCCTAGGACACCCGGGCACACAGAATGGTGGAGACTGGGATCCAGCCACTGACCCTCTGCTTAATGAACAACCCGCTCTAACTCCTGAGCCACAGCTGCCTGGGGTG